TACTGACGAATTTTAATATGGAGTCTGTTCTGCAACCATTATTTTTAAGAATATCAGTAACATTTCATTTGTACAAATTGCTAACTTTGTTTAACCTTTCAAGCATTTTAAGCTTTATTTATTTTTTTGCCTCATTTAAGCTGACTTTATACTCTACATTGCATTATTATTTTCTAATAAAATCCTTCCTTTAATCACTCAGTAGCCTCCAACTCTGGTTAAATTAAAATAATTAAATCTGTTATTTCATTATCTTGTAATTTGATTTTATGTCCAATTTCCTACATTTTTTTAAAGACAAAGAACTGAACCTTAAAAAAATAAATGAAAAACAAACAAGAATGTGTCCATAGTACACGGATGCCCCACTCGCACTATCATTTTCTATGTTCAGTGGACCATGAAATTGGGGTCAAAACTCTAATTTGGCATTAAAATTAGAAAGATCATATCATAGGGAACATGTGTACTAAGTTTCAATTTGATTGGACTTCAACTTCATCAAAAACTACCTAGACCAAAAACTTTAATCTGAAGCGGGACAGACGGACGAACGGACGAACGAATGGACGCACAGACCGAAAAACATAATGCCCCTCTACTATCGTAGGTGGGGCATAAAAAAGGAAAACAGAGAGTGTGTCTACAGCGGTGTTTTGCATTTGTGCCAATCTGCACTTCATTTACGCCAATATTTCTTTTCATTTGCGCCAATGTTTTTTTTTCATTTGCGCTAATTTACAGGTAAACACAAGTCTTCAGATATACAAGTTGATATAATAACAAAAATATAGAAGTAGGATTTCGAGCAGGATAAGTTTATTGTAAAAGTTTCTAAATCTATTTTTTAATCAAAATGTAAATGTTTGAGTAAAACTGTGTGCGAAAATTCCATCTCTTCAAAACAGAAGTGTTTAAATCAACAATTTATATAGTAAGATTATATAAATCCTTGATGAGCTCAACATGTATGTATGCACAGAAACATATACGATGAACATGAACTCATTGAACACCACTAAATGAAAAATTAATAATTGGCGCAAATGACAATAAATTGCTTCGCCGAGCGCAGCTGGATACGATCGCAGAGGTCCAACCCTGAACAGTTGGGGCAAAAATGGACACAATATTCGTGCTTGATACAGGTCTGAATTTGGACTGTAATTAAATATTTGACACATAATAGGTTTCGGACACAGAATAACTGTAGTCAAAGAACTTAGAATTGGTTAAATGATTTGAATTTATATTAATTTTTTTGCTTTTGTGCAATACACTATGCTGTTGCGAATTGACCCCCCCCAAAAAAAAAAAAAAAAAAAAAAATTACCCCCCCCCCCCCCCCCCCATTTTTTTTTGCAAAAAAAAATATATGAAGAAATTTTCTTTTTAATTTCTGAAATCTGAAATGAGAAAAAAAAATGTCCCTCCCCCCACAATTTCTTTTTTACCCCCAATTTTTTTTTCACCTTTCCCCCAAAAAAATTCTTTCCCTCAAGATATGGTCATTATCTCAATTCAATTTTCCAATGGAGTTTACAACCATAATTACTTATTTAAATACATCATAAAAGTCTTAAAATAGAAAATGACATACATAATCATGTCTAAAATTAATTTTCCTATATCAGCATTTTTAATAGTAACTTCTAAAAATAAATTGACAACTTATCACCTCAAGACAATATATTTATTTATTTATACATAATTTAAAAGCAGTGTAAGGGAGGTAATCCAAACACAAAACATTGTACTTAAAAGTAATTGCGCATTAACAAGGAAACCCTTGTTTTCCCCCTTTTTTGCCCCCAATTCCTAAACGGTTTGAGCCATAACCCCCCAATGCCAATTTTAACCATCCCTTTGTGGTATGGAAACTTGTGGTATAATTTCAGAGAGATCCATACACCATTCCACAAGTTATTGTCTGGAAACTAGAAAAATGCTTATTTGGGCCCCTTTTTGGCCCCCAATTCCTAACCTGTTGGGACCATAACCCCCAAAATCAATCCAAACCTTCCTTTTGTGGTCATAAACCTTGTGTTTAAATTTCATAGATTTCTATTTTCTTATACTAAAGTTATTGTGCGAAAACCAAATGTCTTCGGATGAGGATGACAACGACATGATACCAATATACGACCGCAAAATTTTTTGCGGTCGTATAAAAATTATATTTTCAATATTGGCGCAAATGTCATACACCTGTCTACAGGGTATGATTTACCTGCTACACATGCAACACCTACCATGCTAATCCACTCAGTAAAGATGTCACAAAAACGAATAGGGCACAATCAGTAAATTTACAGATCAGCTGATAACTGTGGTATGTTGCAGTGGTATCAAAATCAAAAGCATTTTCGATTAGGTTCTTAAGAGGTAAGCTATCATCCAAAAACTCAGCTCTATTTTTGGTCTTTTCTAAGTATCTGTAACCTTGACCTTGGAAATGTAAACCTCAAACCCATTAAGTATCTCTGGTATAATATGTGATCATATATAAAATTAGGTATTAGTGTTACAATGTATCGTCCTAAACCCTTTTCTGCACTGTTATGGATCTGCTACACATTGTGTGTGAACTATTTTAGGTTCTGTGGCCTTGACCAGGGTTTGTTTAACATCTTAATCTATTGGGATCTTTCTCTTACTGTATGTGACTGTATATCAATTAAAATCCATTGGGATGTTCCTTTCATTAAAGCTGATGAAACATATAAGTTTGATTCCAATCCCAACAACTGGTCTAGTACCAGTTACTGTCCTAAATAAGCAGTTTTTCTCAACACTTTAAAACAGGAACTCTGTTTATAAACATTGTTGTAACATATTGAAAAGGGTTATCAAAAGCAATGTTTGCATCAAGCCACCAAATATATAAAAATCTCCACTTATTCTGAACATTAATGTGATATTTTGCTGTTTTGTGACAAGAGAAGAAGATATGTCAATTTCACCAAACATTTATCATTCTGTCCTCTTCTTCTTGTCACTTCATCTGATCTGATCATGAAATCATGTCACTTGAAATCAACAAATTACACTGTATTGAAGAGGTGAATAGAATTGGATTAAAAAAATTCAAAAATCTTTTTTAATTCTATTGAAATAAATTGCTTCGCCGAGCACAGCTGGATACGACTGCAGAGGTCCAACCCTGAACAGTTGCGGCAAAAATGGACACAATATTCGCGCTTGATACAGGTCTGAATTTGGATTGTAATTCAATATTTGACACATAATAGTTTTCTGACACAGAATAACTTAGAATTGGTAATATGATTTGAATTCATATTCAATTTTTTGCTTTTGTGCAATACACCATGCTGTTGCAAAATTGACATCCCCCCTTTTTTTTTCAAAAAAAAAAAAAAATTGAAGGATTTTCTTTTTGATTTCTGAAATCTTGAGGAGAAAAATTTGTCCCCCCCCCCAATTTTTTTTTAACCTCCCCCCCCCCTTTTTCCAAAAAAAAAATTCTTCCCTCAGTCATGGTCATAATTTCAATTCAAATTTCCAATGGAGTTTGCAACCATAATAACCCATTTAAATACATCATAAAAGTCTTAAAATAGAAAATGACATACATAATCATAGCTTAAATTAATTTACCTTAATCAGCATTTCTAAAATTATCAAAATAGTAACTTCTAAAAATGAAAAGTAGTGTAAGGGAGGTAATTCAAAGTTGTGTCAAACACAACTTTGAATTACCTCCCTTACACTGTAATTTGTACTTAAGTAATTGTCCTTTAACCAGGACACCCTTGTTTTTGCTCACTTTTTTGCCCCTAATTCCTAAACGGTTTGAGCCACAACCCCCCAAAGCCAATCCTAACCATCCCTTTGTGGTATGAAAACTTGTGGTATAATTTCAGAGAAATCCATACACTGTTCCACAAGTTATTGTCATGAAACTAGAAAATTGCTTATTTGGGCCCCTTTTTGGCCCCTAATTCCTAAACTGTTGGGACCATAACCCCCAAAATCAATCCCAACCTTCCTTTTGTGGTTATAAACCTTATGTTTAAATTTCATAGATTTCTATTTACATTTACTAAAGTTATTGTCCGGAAACCAAATGTCTTCGGACGACGACAACGACGTGATACCAATATATGACCGCAAAATTTTTTGCGGTCGTATAAAAACTGTGTGTTCTTAAGCGAGCTTTGATATTACTTTGTCTGTAAATGGTAAGTTTACTAAACTCAACAGGGCTATAAAGTGAAGATGTCATGCCAGTGTATCTTCTTATATATGTAGTGTCATGTTAAAAATCAGTAAACTAAATATTTCTAATCTTAATCAGATCAAACAAAACCAAGTTTTTAAAATGGCATAAAAGTATCTGTCTGAAGATAATTGCGTTCTGCCGTATTTAAGAAATGCAACCATTATTGGATAAAATGCCAGGTGACAGTCACTTGTAACTGACGATTACTGGTCCTTGATCAGTTAGGTTCTACTGTAATCATTCCCGAAAACAAAACTGACCAACAGACTGACAAGCAGATAGGTAAAAAACATAACACCTCTGCTAATTTGTATGAACAGCTTGTAGGAAACACAAATGCTTTTATTTTAATCAGTTATATAGTGTAAGGACAGCCGTGAAATGTTCACAAAAGAAGTCATGTCAGAAAGACATTTAATAACACAGAATAATGGACGTTGTGATAGACAAACCAACAAATATATTTCCATTCATTCAATCTGATCAAAATACAGACCCAGTGTCCATGCTTTGCTTACAAGGATCTGAAAATACTTCGTTTTACGTTCTGTTTTGGTAATTATCACATAACTTATTAAGCCAATGAAATTTCAGCCTTCAAATTTTGAAGGTATGCATCATTACCACAAAGCCAGGGGATCACGAAAGGTCTCTAAAAAAGAAAGTAGAACAGAGCGTTGTCAGATCCTTTTAAGCAAAGCGTGGACACAGTATCTGTATTTAAATTAGATTGCCATTCATTCTCAAATAGTACCAGCACATTTAATAATTTTATTCCTTATTAATATCTCAGTATCAAAATGTACATTTACATAACTTGTTGTTCTATTCAGAAAATGAACGACAAAAACATTCAATCTATGGTACGTCACGTCTGTCTGACTTTTGCAGTGTTCATTAAAGCTTTGTTTGTCAGTAGAGATCTTAAGTTGGATGATGGTTCTGGGAGTTTTGATCCTGAAAAAGGAAATAACACTATGATAATGTTTAAGTTTCATTTTCATAAAAATAAATAAAGCTAATACATGTATAATTATACAGTGAACAGATAACAGTGACATACATAGTTTTGAAACATTTGTTATATAGCTTGACACTTTAAATTACATCTCACTAATTTTTCAGTGTTTTTTAGTTAACTTAAAACACATTTAATCTATTCCAATTAAATAAAGGTTGTACCAAATGTTTAATCGTACATTTTCAAATCTGATTTGATTCTTTAGAAATAACTTGTTGGAAAATTGGAGTATACATGTTCAAGTACAACAAGACCTGCTCTAAAGTCACACTTCAATTCTTTGGATGTTTATATTGATTTAACTGTAGTTTACAGGTTTTTGACATGAAGACAGCTACACACATGGATGCAAGGAATATGCAAAATAAATTTTATCATTTTTTTTTCTTGAATGACAGTATTCAACTAACAGCTGTGACTACATTTGAGCTGCGATGGAAAGAAATTGACCTTATGCAAATGAAAATTTAAAATACATCTGTTAACTTATTTCGGGTTGGAAAAATTTCAATGCAACGTCTGTAACTGTTTGAAAATTGAGTTGACACAAGAACCCTACAAATTCATCTTTCATTTCGTGTTTGAATGTTCCAAAATCGATCAAAGTCTTCTACATGTACATACTTGCATAAGGTCGATTTTCTATCCAATGCAGCTCATTTATCTTAGCTAGCTCTCTGTAGTAGTGGGCAGATTTTGACACTGCTTTCCAAATAATATAATGGGCTGTCTTTTATTTACTTATTATAGTGAGTGGTCATTCTGTTGGTACTGTGACTAACTAACCATTATTTATGACAATTTTTAGAGATGTCACTAAATAATTCACCATTATTTTTAAAGACAATTTTAGGAGCTGTGACTCACTGGCCATTATTTATGATAGCTTAAAGAGCAGTGACTAACTCACCATTACTTTAGACAATTTCAAGAGCTTCGACTTACTCACCATTATTTTAAGACAATTTTAAGAGTTGTGACTAACTCACCATTATGTAAGACAATTTAATGACCTGTGAATAACTCACCATTATGTAAGACAATTTAAAGACCTGTGACTAACTAACAATTAAGTAAGACAATTTTAAGAGCTGTGACTAACTAACCATTATTTATGACAATTTTTAGAGCTGTGACTAAATAATTCACCATTATTTAAGACAATTTAAAGAGCTGTGTCTCACTGGCCTTTATTTAAGATAACTTTAAGAGCTGTGACTAACTCACCATTATTTAAGACAATTTAAAGAGCTGTGACTAACTCACCATTATTTTAAGACAATTTAAAGAGCTGTGACTAACTCACCATTATGTAAGACAATTTAAAGAGCTGTGACTAACTCACAATTATGTAAGACAATTTTAAGAGCTGTGACAAACTCACTATTATTTTAAGACAATTTAAAGAGCTGTGACTAACTCACCATTATGTAAGACAATTTTAAGAGCTGTGACTAACTCACCATTATTTTAAGACAATTTCAAGAACTGTAACTAAATCACAATAATTTAGGACAATTCTAAGAACCGTTCGACTAACTTACCATTATTTGAGACAATTTTGAGAGCTACATGACTAACTCATCATTATTTAAGACAATTTTAAGAGCTGTGACAAACTCACTATTATTTTAAGACAATTAAAAGAGCTGTGACTAACTCACCATTATGTAAGACAATTTTAAGAGCTTGTGACTAACTCACCATTATTTTAAGACAACTTCAAGAGCTGTAACTAAATCACCATAATTTAGGACAATTCTAAGAACTGTATGACTAACTAACCATTATTTGAGACAATTTTGAGAGCTACATGACTAACTCACCATTATTTTAAGACAATTTCAAGAGCTGTAACTAAATCACCATAATTTAGGACAATTCTAAGAACTGTATGACTAACTAACCATTATTTAAGACAATTTTAAGAGCTGTATGACTAGTTGTAGGATCAAGGGTATCCATTTCTACTGCGTCAGCATTTTTATTGATTTCGAATTTAACCCATCTGTATCCATTACAACGTTTAGAACCAGGACAGCTTTGTATTAAGTTTTGTGTAACTGGATGTGATAAACCAAAGAAATCAGCTCCTTTTCCTGTTTGTTCTAAAAATTCTAATTTTCTGAAAGCAGAAAATATTGCATGGTTACACATATGATTGTTTTTTTTTCATTTCATATCCTTAAGAACAGTATCAGAATTGGGGTACATTTACTGTTGATATTCCCATTTGTTTCCAAGTTGTGCAAAATTTTATTACAACAGTTCCTACTTTACAATTTTTTTAACCATTGTCACCGCCTGGTCTTTTATTTTCTGAGACATTTTCTTACTGTTAACTCAACTATTAACAAATTCTTCCAGATAGTTATAAATTTAGGCACTTTTTGTGATATATATATATATATATATATTTGTATTCAATATTTTTGTCTACAGAGAACATATATTTCAGTAAAATGTGTTGTTTACATGGAAATCTTCTTGTACCTTTATTTTTTGTAAACTATGCAAAACATTCAATGAACCATGGCTGAAGGTGCAGCGCCAAATAATCTCCAAGGAAATGAGATGTGACAATGCTAATACAACTGCATACCAAATACCATTGACTTGTCATAATTGGTTCCCCTTAAACTGATCTTATCACAAACTTTAACATGTAAAGTAAGCAAAAGTTTCAAAGTTAATAGACCATGGCTGAGGGGCAGGGCAAGATAATCTCAATGGAAAGTCTCCTTTTTGTCAAGCCTTCGACTTTTGTCGAAAAAGTGAGACATAGCGATCCTACATTCCGTCGGTGTCGTCGTCATTGGCGGCGTCCATAAATATTCACTCTGTGGTTAAAGTTTTTGAAATTTTAATAACTTTCTTAAACTATCCTGGATTTCTACCAAACTTGGACAGAAGCTTGTTTATGATCATAAGATAGTATCCAGAAGTAAATTTTGTAAAAAAAAAATTCCAGTTTTTCCGTATTTTACTTATAAATGGACTTAGTTTTTCTGCCAGTTATCATGACATTCACTCTGTGGTTAAAGTTTTTAAAATTTAAATAACTTTCTTAAACTATCCTGGATTTGTACCAAACTTGGACAGAAGCTTGTTTATGATCATAAGATAGTATCCAGAAGTAAATTTTGTAAAAAAAAAAATCCTGTTTTTCAATATTTTACTTATAAATGGACTTAGTTTTTCTGCCAGTTAACATTACATTCACTCTGTGGTTAAAGTTTTTAAAATTTTAATAACTTTCTTAAACTATCCAGGAATTTTACCAAACTTGGACAAAAGCTTGTTTATGATCAAAAGCTAGTATCTAGAAGGAAATTTTGTAAAAATTTATTTCCTGTTTTTCCGTATATTACTTATAAATGGACTTAGTTTTTCTTCCAGTTAACATTACATACAGTCTGCAGTTAAAGTTTTTAAAACATTTATTAGATTCATAAACCATCCTGGATTTTTACCAAACTTGGACAGAAGCTTCTTACAATCAAAAGATAGTATTTAGAGGAAAAGTTTTAATAATTTTTTCCCCATTTTTGTTGACATAGCGATCTGAATTAAGGGATAATCATCAAACAATGTAAAAACTATCTTCTTTATCTTTATCATTTGTTCATTCAATCAATTTATGTTTCAACTCTTTTATAAATCTACAGATTTGATTCCATACTGTATTCATTTTTACAAGCATAACTTTTTTCATACATTTCAAACGTTTTATTTCATTAACTGTAAATCTATTATGTGCATTCCCCTATCACACTGAAAACATAGATAACAGCAAAAGTAGGCGAGACACTGGGTTCCGTGGAACCCTTACGATTTTTTTTTTAAACTCGTCAAGCAGAGACAAAAAGAAAATTACGACAAATATTATTTACTGATTGTTGCTTTTTTATTGCCTAGTGGCAAATGTGTCATGCATATTTAGAACAATTAATAATATTTAACCCCTCCCTCAAACCATTTAAAAAGACCATGAATATGAAAATCTTCTTTGAACTTAACTTCAATGTCATATTTATCATACCAGCACTTACTTGTTTTTCTTAACTGCTTTAATGAGTTGATTATGACAATCAGAGATTGATTTGCTATAAAACACAACACCAGGACTTTCTTCTGATGCTATCTCAAACTACAAATACAAACAAACTATTAAATACAACACCAGGACTTTCGTCTGATGCTATCTCAAACTACAAATACAACAAACTATTAAATACAACACCAGGACTTTCTTCTGATGCAATCTCAAACTACAAATATAAACAAACTATTAAATACAACACCAGGACTTTCTTCTGATGCAATCTCAAACTACAAATACAAACAAACTATAAAATACAACACCAGGACTTTCGTCTGATGCTATCTCAAACTACAAATACAACAAATTATTAAATACAACACCAGGACTTTCTTCTGATGCAATCTCAAACTACAAATACAAACAAACTATTAAATACAACACCAGGACTTTCTTCTGATGCTATCTCAAACTACAAATACAACAAACTATAAAATACAACACCAGGACTTTCGTCTGATGCTATCTCAAACTACAAATACAACAAACTATTAAATACAACACCAGGACTTTCTTCTGATGCTATCTCAAACAACAAATATAAACAAACTATTAAATACAACACCAGGACTTTCTTCTGATGCTATCTCAAACTACAAATACAAACAAACTATTAAATACAACACCAGGACTTTCGTCTGATGCTATCTCAAACTACAAATACAACAAACTATTAAATACAACACCAGGACTTTCTTCTGATGCAATCTCAAACTACAACTATAAACAAACTATTAAATACAACACCAGGACTTTCTTCTGATGCTATCTCAAACTACAAATATAAACAAACTATAAAATACAACACCAGGACTTTCGTCTGATGCTATCTCAAACTACAAATATAAACAAACTATAAAATACAACACCAGGACTTTCTTCTGATGCTATCTCAAACTACAAATACAAACAAACTATTAAATACAACACCAGGACTTTCTTCTGATGCAATCTCAAACTACAAATATAAACAAACTATTAAATACAACACCAGGACTTTCTTCTGATGCTATCTCAAACTACAAATACAACAAACTATTAAATACAACACCAGGACTTTCGTCTGATGCAATCTCAAACTACAAATACAACAAACTATTAAATACAACACCAGGACTTTCTTCTGATGCTATCTCAAACTACAAATATAAACAAACTATTAAATACAACACCAGGACTTTCGTCTGATGCTATCTCAAACTACAAATATAAACAAACTATTAAATACAACACCAGGACTTTCGTCTGATGCTATCTCAAACTACAAATATAAACAAACTATTAAATACAACACCAGGACTTTCTTCTGATGCAATCTCAAACTACAAATATAAACAAACTATTAAATACAACACCAGGACTTTCTTCTGATGCTATCTCAAACTACAAATACAACAAACTATTAAATACAACACCAGGACTTTCGTCTGATGCTATCTCAAACTACAAATATAAACAAACTATTAAATACAACACCAGGACTTTCTTCTGATGCTAATTCAAACTACAAATACAAACAAACTATAAAATACAACACCAGGACTTTCTTCTGATGCTATCTCAAACTACAAATATAAACAAACTATTAAATACAACACCAGGACTTTCTTCTGATGCTATCTCAAACTACAAATACAACAAACTATAAAATACAACACCAGGACTTTCTTCTGATGCTATCTCAAACTACAAATACAACAAACTATTAAATACAACACCAGGACTTTCTTCTGATGCTATCTCAAACTACAAATACAACAAACTATAAAATACAACACCAGGACTTTCTTCTGATGCTAATTCAAACTACAAATACAAACAAACTATAAAATACAACACCAGGACTTTCTTCTGATGCTATCTCAAACTACAAATATAAACAAACTATAAAATACAACACCAGGACTTTCTTCTGATGCAATCTCAAACTACAAATACAAACAAACTATTAAATACAACACCAGGACTTTCTTCTGATGCAATCTCAAACTACAAATACAAACAAACTATTAAATACAACACCAGGACTTTCTTCTGATGCTATCTCAAACTACAAATATAAACAAACTATAAAATACAACACCAGGACTTTCTTCTGATGCAATCTCAAACTACAAATACAAACAAACTATTAAATACAACACCAGGACTTTCTTCTGATGCTATCTCAAACTACAAATATAAACAAACTATTAAATACAACACCAGGACTTTCGTCTGATGCTATCTCAAACTACAAATACAAACAAACTATAAAATACAACACCAGGACTTTCTTCTGATGCTATCTCAAACTACAAATACAACAAACTATTAAATACAACACCAGGACTTTCGTCTGATGCTATCTCAAACTACAAATATAAACAAACTATAAAATACAACACCAGGACTTTCTTCTGATGCAATCTCAAACTACAAATATAAACAAACTATTAAATACAACACCAGGACTTTCTTCTGATGCTATCTCAAACTACAAATATAAACAAACTATTAAATACAACACCAGGACTTTTGTCTGATGCTATCTCAAACTACAAATACAAACAAACTATAAAAAACAACACCAGGACTTTCTTCTGATGCTATCTCAAACTACAAATATAAACAAACTATAAAATACAACACCAGGACTTTCTTCTGATGCAATCTCAAACTACAAATACAAACAAACTATTAAATACAACACCAGGACTTTCTTCTGATGCAATCTCAAACTACAAATACAAACAAACTATTAAATACAACACCAGGACTTTCTTCTGATGCAATCTCAAACTACAAATATAAACAAACTATTAAATACAAAACCAGGACTTTCTTCTGATGCAATCTCAAACTACAAATATAAACAAACTATTAAATACAACACCAGGACTTTCGTCTGATGCTATCTCAAACTACAAATACAACAAACTATTAAATACAACACCAGGACTTTCTTCTGATGCTATCTCAAACTACAAATACAAACAAACTATTAAATACAACACCAGGACTTTCTTCTGATGCTATCTCAAACTACAAATACAAACAAACTATTAAATACAACACCAGGACTTTCTTCTGATGCTATCTCAAACTACAAATACAAACAAACTATAAAATACAACACCAGGACTTTCGTCTGATGCTATCTCAAACTACAAATATAAACAAACTATTAAATACAACACCAGGACTTTCTTCTGATGCTATCTCAAACTACAAATACAACAAACTATTAAATACAACACCAGGACTTTCTTCTGATGCTATCTCAAACTACAAATACAACAAACTATTAAATACAACACCAGGACTTTCTTCTGATGCAATCTCAAACTACAAATATAAACAAACTATTAAATACAACACCAGGACTTTCGTCTAATGCTATCTCAAACTACAAATACAACAAACTATTAAATACAACACCAGGACTTTCGTCTGATGCTATCTCAAACTACAAATACAACAAACTATTAAATACAACACCAGGACTTTCTTCTGATACTATCTCAAACTACAAATACAAACAAACTATAAAATACAACACCAGGACTTTCTTCTGATGCAATCTCAAACTACAAATATAAACAAACTATAAAATACAACACCAGGACTTTCTTCTGATGCAATCTCAAACTACAAATATAAACAAACTATAAAATACAACACCAGGACTTTCTTCTGATGCAATCTCAAACTACAAATATAAACAAACTATAAAATACAACACCAGGACTTTCGTCTGATGCTATCTCAAACTACAAATACAACAAATTATTAAATACAACACCAGGACTTTCTTCTGATGCAATCTCAAACTACAAATATAAACAAACTATTAAATACAACACCAGGACTTTCTTCTGATGCTATCTCAAACTACAAATATAAACAAACTATTAAATACAACACCAGGACTTTCGTCTGATGCTATCTCAAACTACAAATATAAACAAACTATTAAATACAACACCAGGACTTTCTTCTGATGCTATCTCAAACTACAAATATAAACAAACTATTAAATACAACACCAGGACTTTCTTCTGATGCAATCTCAAACTACAAATATAAACAAACTATTAAATACAACACCAGGACTTTCTTCTGATGCTATCTCAAACTACAAATACAACAAACTATAAAATACAACACCAGGACTTTCGTCTGATGCTATCTCAAACAACAAATATAAACAAACTATTAAATACAACACCAGGACTTTCTTCTGATGCTATCTCAAACTACAAATACAACAAACTATAAAATACAACACCAGGACTTTCTTCTGATGCTATCTCAAACTACAAATATAAACAAACTATTAAATACAACACCAGGACTTTCTTCTGATGCTATCTCAAACTACAAATATAAACAAACTATTAAATACAACACCAGGACTTTCGTCTGATGCTATCTCAAACTACAAATACAACAAACTATTAAATACAACACCAGGACTTTCTTCTGATGCTATCTCAAACTACAAATATAAACAAACTATAAAATACAACACCAGGACTTTCTTCTGATGCTATCTCAAACTACAAATATAAACAAACTATAAAATACAACACCAGGACTTTCTTCTGATGCAATCTCAAACTACAAATATAAACAAACTATAAAATACAACACCAGGACTTTCTTCTGATGCAATCTCAAACAACAAATATAAACAAACTATTAAATACAACACCAGGACTTTCGTCTGATGCTATCTCAAACTACAAATATAAACAAACTATTAAATACAACACCAGGACTTTCGTCTGATGCTATCTCAAACTACAAATACAAACAAACTATTAAATACAACACCAGGACTTTCTTCTGATGCTATCTCAAACTACAATAATAGAGACTGTTTTTCAATATACGAAATTGATTAATTGAATGATTCAGTTATCTTCCTTGGTACACAATTCCCATATGTAAGCAATCTCACAGTAGTGCTCCTAACAAAAGGGGGAATATACAGAACAAGCACACATACAAAATGGTGTTCCAGAATCCAAATTGAATGGAATGGATGACAAAGATAAACACATCAGCTCTTAAACAAATTGCATGGAATTAAAGTGAATGGATATTTTTTCATGAATTTATTCAAAAATTCTTCTTTCTAGATAACTTTCCTTCTTTGAATCAGGGCAAACATTGCAATCAGAGATGGTATGACAACTGGATTCTATGAACAGAGTAAAATGTCCCCTTCATATATCACATTTCCATGTTCTTTGAACCACAAAATTTGAGTTAACATTGGTGACCATAGTGTCATGGTAAACTCTGTTTAACAAAAACTTCAACCAAATCATCGAACTGTGGGATCTGGGTGAAAATCTTAACCTAATCATGATCAGTAAACAGGGATATCTGGGTAAAAACCCTATATTCACACGTATTTTTTAAAGTGCCCATCAAGAATTCTACCAAAATTGTTTGAAATATGAGACTTGTTGAACAATTATAAATCAAGTAATGTAAGTAAACATCATTTATGACTTTTCCTACAAAATACAATATAATACTCAAGGGTATATTACATTGGCCAATGTTATTTAATAACTAAAGCATTGGTCTTGGAACACTGGGTCATGTAAGAAGTACAAGCTAACTTGGCTGCCTTTAAAACACTTGACATTGTACTAAAGTAATCTTGATCCTTGTAACAGTTTGTGTAGTTGCTAATCTAAACACTGTGAATTATCTTTGAGACATTGTTGACCTGCTGTCAGTTCGGAACTTCTTGAGCATGTTGCAGGTGCTTGAAGGTTTGCATTGGAGTGTGAAATAGTGAGCATTTCTTTGCTGAGTTGAAATTTATTTGTTTTCTTGTTGCTAAATTAGTCTTTGTTTTTGCTTGTCGTTAAAATATTCTTCTTGTCACTAATTAGTGAAACCCTCGAATTTTACTCTGATTCCAGGAAGTCAACTTTAGCAAAGTTCATTTCGGATTTTAAAAAAACAAACCTTATCGGACCTATTAGTTCGAAGTTGTTAACCTGACTTGATAGCTTTGTCAGTTGGTCAGACGATTTTCAACATCTCTGGTTTTCAGTAAATTCCAGATCAATATTGATAGTTAAGGTGGATTTCGGCAATATTCAAGTACCAATTGTTCTGATGAGAAAAGATAAAAAAATAATCAGATTCCTGAGAAAACTGAGTTATTATTGACATGTGGCGACTAAGCATAGATCAGTTGATTTTTCACTGTTATATCAACGACTGAAACGTTCTTAAAAGCAACTAAAGATTGAAATACCACTCGAAATAAACCCGAACTCTTTGACAAGGATATTTAAGTAACAGTGTGTCAATCGGATTACTGCTCATAATGCAAAATGCAATTCTATTGTAAATTTTGAAAACTTACAAAAAACACCGATTAATTCTTTATTTCACAATGTCAATGAATTACAATAATAAGGGGGCTATATAATTTCCATGGAAATGAGACTTGCAAATGCCAATTCATTTGCATACCAAATATTATTGACTTATATATAATTAATATCAGTGGTTCATCTTAAACTGATCTAATCACAAATTAATACGTGTAAACTAAGAGCAAAAGTTTCATCGTCAATAGACCATGACTGAGGGGTAAGGAACAAATATTCTCCATGGAAATGAGATGTGCTAATGCTTATACAAATGCATACCAATTATCATTGGCCTAACACTAGTGGTTCACCATAAACTGACCTAATCACAAACTAATACATGTAAACTAAGCAAAAGTTTTAAAGTCAATAGACCATGATTGAGGGGCAGGGCCAAATAATCTCCATGTGAATGAGATGTACTAATGCTTATACAAATGCATACCAATTATCATTGACCTACCACCAGTGGCTCCCCATAAACTGACCTAATCACAAACTAATACATGTAAACTAAGCAAAAGTATTAAAGTCAATAGACCATGATTGAGGGGCAGGGCCAAATAATCTCCATGTGAATGAGATATACCAATGCTTATACAAATGCATACCAAATATCATTGACCTACCACTAGTGGTTCCCCATAAACTAGACCTAATCACAAACTAATACATGTAAACTAAGCAAAAGTTTTAAAGTCAATAGACCATGATTGAGGGGCAGGGCCAAATAATCTCCATGTGAATGAGATGTGCCAATGCTTATACAACTGCAAACCAAATATCATTGACCTACCACTAGTGGTTCACTATTAACTAGACCTAATCAAAAACTAATACATTGTTGATGCCGCCTCCGCCGGAAACAGCATACCTATGTCTTGCATTTTGACTCTGACAACGAGAGACAAAAAATACAGAATACCACAAATAGAAGGAGAAAGAATTCCACTTTTCATGATTTCAATGGTGACATATTTACCCCCCACATAGAAACAAAATGACTATTCCCCGATACCATTAAAGGCATTAAGTTACTGCCTTTAAAAACTCATCGAAATTACCAGGCTTATAATTAGTACTTCTTTTGTTTCTTTTATTACAAAACATGCAGTTAGTTTTCTCTTTTCAATTGTTTTAAACTTTTGTCATGTTGAGGCCTTTTATAGAGGACTATAAGTATGGGTTTTGCTCATTGTTTAAAGACTGTGATCTTTTGTTGCTTACATCCACGACATTTGGACAGTTTTGTTAGTTGTCTCATTGGCAATCATATCAAATCTCCTTATTTTATTTATGGCTCCTTTCAAATTTAACTCTATCAATCTATCTGGATAAACCAATATTACAACCAACAGATGGAAGCATAAACAATTTTACTTGCAAAACAAGAATGTGTCCATAGTACACGGATGCCCCACTCGCACTATCATTTTCTATGTTTGGTGGACCGTGAAATTGGGGTCAGAACTCTAATTTGGCATTAAAATTAGAAAGATCATATCATTGGGAACATGTGTACTAAGTTTCAAGTTGATTGGACTTCAACTTCATCAAAAACTACCTTGACCAAAATTTAACCTGAAGCGACTAAAAACTTAAACCTGAAGGGGGACAAAAGGATGAACGGTAGACGGACAAACGGACGAAGGAATGGACGAACGGAGGCACAGACCAAAAAACCTAATGCCCCTAGGTGAGGCATAAAAACATCTGGGTTTTTTTAATATATAAACAGTAGTATGAACAGAATATTTCAGTCTGGACTTTAGACTTACCACCGGACCTTTTCCACCATCAGATATTTTACATGTATACAAACATCTATTGTCTACATTATTAACATCAACAAACACTCTGGTACTACAGAATCCCTCAGGATAGATGTTAGATACAGAATGAAATCCTGGTCTGTCTACGACAATCTGTAAACAAAAATGTATTATTTACATAGTGTCTAAACATACACTAATATAAGTTATATGGTTCGCTACCGACCCCTACGGATCCACAGAGGGTTAGTAAAATCCATAGGGGGTGAGGCTGAAGGCCGAATCTCCTATGGATTTTACTCACCCTCTATGGTCCGTAGGGGGTCAGAAGTGAACCGTATAACGAGTTTATTGCACACAGGACTTTTCCTGTCGCGTTTTGAAGAAAAATAAACAATGAAATAAAACAACATCAATAGATGACGTCACCATTAACAGTAGATGTGACGTCACGAACGAGGGACAAATATGAAATTTACCACCCCCCTATGGATCCATAGGGGTCACCACGTGACGGCGTTTAACCAATCACAACGTCATAATTTACCCGTGGTGTGATAAAACTATTTAGTAATATAACCTGTCTAAAGTAAACACCTGTTAAATCTCCAAAAACAACAAGAATGCATACGTTGTCTTACATAGCAATCCCCTATTTGTAATTAAAAGTATCAGAAAACATGAAGTAAATGTCTGACAGATCTGAAAAGCCTGTTGAGCTGCTTACCAAATATAAAGTCATTCTGTTATGTCGTATTTAAGGAATGTGTGACAAAAATTATCAGATCATTCAACATATTGAAAATATCATAGTATCAGAAAACAGGAAGTAGGTATATGACAGATCAATAAAGTCCTCACACTTTACTACTCATCACTGTCAAGATGCTGACCAAATATGAAGTCATAATGTTTAGTTGTATTCTTTTAACATGATGAAAATAAAAGTATCAGCAAACAGAAAATAGATATTCTACTGATTCCAAAAATGCTCACATATTACAACTCATGACCAAATATGAAGTCATTCTATATCTGTTGTATGATGACAATATTTGTTTGACGGCAGGATGGACAAAGTTATTGCAATATAGCCACATCTCCTAGCATGGGGATATCAAATCTAAAGTCATGCAGGAGATTAGTTGACAGGTTTAACTGAACATACATTCTTGAAAAATAAAATATTTCTGAGAAAGCAATTCCTTATTTTCAGTCAATGCCTTGATTCCATTATATTAGCACAACCAAACTACTGCACAATAAACCCTTTACACTTTTACCACCTGTAAGGTGAATGGTGTAACATATATACCTCTCCAATGCTGTGTATTGTTAAGTCTCCTATAATTAGAGGAAACACAGGTCTCCCTAATGAATCAAGCTGTAATGGAGGTATCACTTTCTTTGTTGGCTGATTTTTACCTCCTTTCTTAGGTTTGGGTGGTGGTAACCCTTCTGTAAGTATATATTAAATGATATCATAGAAAGATACATGGCACAATCATATAAAATCAGAAAAAAAACCTCAAAGAACACAGTACTTCTTACACATTTTACATTTAAACACAGAATATCAGATTTTATCTTACCTCCTATACATTTCTAGGAATATGATTGGTTAAAAGCATCCGCGTGGAGACCGTGTATATTCCATATTAGGTTAGTAGGGAGGTGGGGCTTATTTCAATACATGGTTAGTAGTGGTGTTACGTCCAAGGATCCGGAAATTTTTCCACACAATTTCGGTCATTTTGAGATGATTGAAAAGTTGGTGCCCCTTTCCAAATTGTCGATGTCAACTTGACTAAATTCATAGCATCAACGAACTTGTATTGCTGTTCCATCGCATTTACTAATTAAATGTCTTACCATTACCATGAAGAACAGTTTAGGGAAGGCAATTGTTTAAAATTGAAATGATTTTAATGACTCAAAATGGTAAATCTCTCAGACATTGCTTACGTTTCTTTCGATTTGATAAAAGTTAAAACCAGAAGTTTGCGATAAAGTTAAAGAACGAATAATTCCGGATTCATTTCCAGGATTTGTTTTGTTTATCAAATAGACTATTTTCATATTACCGACTTTTGACTCCGGATTATATAATTTGTCGACTGGTTACCTTGGACATCATGGTACCAAGTCAGGTAAGAGCAAGCTAAAGAAGTAAAACCAAGCTTTCAATCGGTACAATTTTGGGGGAAAATTACCTAGTTAATATTTTTTTTCACTACAAAATCACCAGAAAACAGTAAACTTTCCCCTCAAATTACACCGATTATATGTTTGATTTTACTTATTTTGGTTGCTCTTACTTTACCGAGTACCATGATGTCCAAGGTAACCAGTCGACAAATTATATAATCCGGAGTCAGAAGTCGGTAATTAAACTGGTCCGCCGTTCCATCTATAGCTTCGTACCGAAGTAGCGATAAGTGAACACAACAGGGGTCCAGTTTAGTCGGTAATATGAAGATAGTCTATTGACAGGAAATCACCGGCTTTTTTATTTTATTACCTTTAAAAGTGTTTGAATGTAACAGACAATAGTTGCACTCGTTTAATTTAGCATGAAATCAATTGGCATTTTACGATTAAATATTAAATTTGCTGAAGACAATTTCACGCATGCGTATTATAAAGTAAATAAAGCACATGAAAAAATACTTTTTTCTCCGTAAATTTAGGTTTAATTTTTAAATCAGATTTGATGATTGTCTTTGCTGAAAAGTAATTGAATAATGAACACACTTGTCAGGGAATTTCAATTTTTGTTAAGATATTATTCTGAGCTTGTGATCACTGTCAGGTGTGAATTAAAACCACAGGTAAAAAGTGATTAGCGATCATTAGCCAATGATTCCCGGAGGCATTGATATAGATATTAGGAGGGCCCTCAGGATTATCAAACTACTGGAGTGGCAGTTTTATTACAGGAAAGGGATTATAAACAAAAACTAGTGATCACAACTTACATAAGACAGTGCAAAATGGCGATTAAGAAATCCGATTTCAAACATTGAGTCAATGAAATGACCGAAATTACTTCTTTAAAAAAATAAAATTTGTCCTAAATCCCAATTACTCGTTTAGGACAAATAGTTTCATCTTAGGACATGACTGGCATATATGACCGTTTCCGGACCCTTGGTTACGTCCTTTATTAAAAAAAAAACAGTACTGAGAAAAAATCTTAAAGGTTTCAACAGACAAAGAAATTGATGATGAAGATTGAAATAAATTCATAAAATACATTTAAAGCTATATATGACAAGTTGTTATTGTTGGTATCTGTTTTTGTATGATCAATGGATGTAGTTTCTTAATGCTAACGGTATTGAAGAATTGCTCATTTTGATAGGTCACTAGACTATGTCTAAATATCACACGTTAAAATAGTCGGTAAGATAAATTTGTTACATAGTGTGCTAGTGACGTAATACGGTATATATGGGGTCAGTAAATTCCATATAGGGATTCGAGCTTCGCTCTCACCCCATATGGAATTTACTGACCCCATATATACCATATTAGGTCACTAGCACACTATGTAACTAATAATACCTGCTATGTGGGCTGGAAATGACCAGAACAGTGATTTCATTAATTTTTTTAAAATACTGGCAGAATGTCAACTAGAATATAATAAATTATAACATCTACGATCTCTTTATGTTTTGCTGTTATCCATAGCTCTCAACCTTAATTACCTAGTATTTGTTTTGTAGTCGGTGGTCGTTTCTTGTCAGGTTTCTTCTTGGGTTTAGCCTTTGCCTGTGTGTCGACAGGTTCTTCCTTCACTTTGACAATTGATGGAGGAGTTTTACTGATAGCAGCTGGTATATCTGACTGGGACTGATAATGTAGAACTTTTCTCAAAAGAAATCTGAAATGACAAAAAAACATACATCTACATCATTTTGTCTCTGGTGGATAGTTGTCACATTGGCAATCATACCACGTCTTCTTGTTTGTATATTATCAAATATGGATAAGCTTCTTAATGATTGAGAGCTTAACATAAGGTATAGACATTTGTCTACCGTTGAGGGTCTATAAGAGGCTTCTTAATTATTGAGAACTTAACATACGGTATAGACATTTGTCTAACATTGAGGGTCTATATAATCAATATGGAGAAGCTTCTTAATGATTGAGAGCTTAACATAAGGTATAGACATTTGTCTACCGTTGAGGGTCTATAAGAGGCTTCTTCATGATTGAGAACTTAACATAAGGTATAGAAATTTGTCTAACGTTGAGGGTCTATATAATCAATATGGAGAAGCTTCTTAATGATTGAGAGCTTAACATAAGGTATAGACATTTGTCTAATGTTGAGGGTCTATATTCATGATATTATCAATATGGAGAAGCCTCTTAATGACTGAGAGCTTAACATAAGGTATAGACATTTGTCTAACGTTGAGGGTCTATATTATCAATATGGAGAAGCTTCTTAATGATTGAGAGCTTAACATAAGGTATGGACATTTGTCTAACGTTGAGGGTCTATATTATCAATATGGAGAAGCCTCTTAATGATTGAGAGCTTAACATAAGGTATAGACATTTGTCTAACGTTGAGGGTCTATGTTGATCTCTAGAAGTTTTTTTAGTTTAGCTGTGTCAATGAATAATTAACATTGATGTATAAAACAAACCTTTTATTCATGATATGTAATCTAATCACCATCTATAAATCTATTTCTATGCTAATCTATGACTGTGGATTCATTATCATTGGGTGGATACCAATTTTCGTGGAATACATGAGTACTGGGGAACCACGAATTTAAATGTTCCAACGAATTACTAATTTTCTTTATGAATATATGCAGACTTTGAAAAAACAATGAAATCATATATCTATGAACAAGAATGTGTCCATAGTACATAGATGCCCCATTAGCACTATCATTTTCTATGTTCAGTGGACCGTGAAATTGGGGTCAAAACTCTAATTTGGCATTAAAATTAGAAAGATCATATCATAGGGAACATGTGTACTAAGTTTCAAGTTGATTGGACTTCAACTTCATCAAAAACTACCTTGACCAAAAACTTTAACCTGAAGCGGGACAGAGGGATGGACAAACGGACGAACGCACAGACTGAAAAACATAATGCTCCTATTGGGGCATAAAAATGAAAGTTCAAGTTTCCCTCAATCCACAAAAATGTGTACCCATAAAAATAAATGAATCCACAGTATCACATCTTATTCACATCCAAACATTTCACCTCCTTTCTTCTTTGACCTTGGCAACTTTTTCCTCTACTCTCACAACTTCATCACATATGGCAGCATTAACCTGAAAAATAAATAATTACAATTTACATCAAAAATTAACTAAGACAACTTTGCTAAAATTGATAGCCTTAAGTAGCTAACGTGTTTCTCTGTTAATTATTTTCTGTTCCACAAAATTATTTCAAACCTAGTTCATGTATATGACAAATACAGAAATGGAACAATTACCATTTACAGCAGAGTAAACAGCTAAATACCACTGTACATGTACAAATCAGCATTATTTATATTGTCGTTTACAATTAGAGTTTATATCCTAATTACATGGATTAAGCTCTCTTCGTTGCTTGAGTTTACACTCTTTTTGGTGAATTTCATGTGGTGAGATCTAGTGTTTGTTGTTACCCTACATTGTATATAACCGGTACATGTACATTGTATATGTAATATTGCCTCATGTACATCTCCATACATTTGGATTCCATATTTTTTTTTTGTACATACATGATAAATATATTTGTTTGTTAACCTGAGATATTGTATGCATACAGTGAGTTCCTAATTGAATATCAAAATAAGTCTTGTGTCTTGTTTTTATTTTGCATCAAGTCATGTCTTCATAACTTACCAGAAAAAAAATTAAAAAAAATACCCATATAATATTTTTTTTCAACACCAAAATGATTCTTGTTAAATAGTAAGCAAACAACACATTAATATATTGAATGTTTTTATTTTAAACAAACCGAAAAAATTATTTAGGACATAAATTTGACTCAAGTTCAAATGTCCCCTTAAAAATCTTGATTTCTTGGCTTTCAAAGACCCCCAAAAACAAACCAGCACTGATAGCTTAAAGCTAAGAAAAACAAAACTTCTGCCTTATCTTTCAAAAGATTTTTGTAATCTTTTGGGTTAAATACCCTCCAGTACTTGATTGACTTACAAATATAAGATCCTTGACAACTTACTTTATTCATGTTCATCTTAACTTACAAATATAAGATCTTTGACAACTTTCATTATTCATGTTCATCTTAACTTACAAATATAAGATCTTTGACAACTTTCTTTATTCATGTTAATCTTAACTTACAAATATTAGATCTTTGACAACTTTCTTTATTCATGTTAATCTTAACTTACAAATATAAGATCTTTGACAACTTTATTTATTCATGTTCATCTTAACTTGCAAATATAAGATCTTTGACAACTTTCTTTATTCATGTTCATCTTAACTTACAAATATAAGATCTTTGACAACTTTCTTTAATCTTTTGAGTTTCCTGTAATACTGTTTCTGTGCAAGAGAGCGTGCTGATATTCCACTGGCTAATCTAAAAAATAAGTTTCTGGGTTTAAAACAAACATGCATATAAAACTACAATGAAATAACATAAACTGTAAAGACAGAGATATTTGACTCACCTTTTTGTAATTTTGATAACACAAATGTTGAAATTAAAATAGCAATACTTTAACATGTCAGATATGCAAATATTCAAAGTCAATGATCCATGACTGAAGATACATGGCTAAACAATATCCATGGAAATGAGATGTGCCAATACTAATACAACTGCATACCAAATACCATTGACTTATCATAAGTCGTTCCCTTTAAACAAACCTAATCACAAACATGAACTTGTAAACTATAAAAATTTCAAAGTCAATGAACCATGATGAGGGGTGGGCTATATAATCTCCATTGAAACGAGACTTGCAAATGCCAATAAATTTGCATACCAAATATCATTGACTTAACATTAGCGGTTCATCTTAAACTATCTAATCACAAACTAATACATGTAAACTAAGCAAAAGTTTCACGGTCAATAGACCATGATGGAGGGGCGTGGCCAAAAATTCTCCATGGAAATGAGATGTGCTAATGCTTATACAACTGCATACCAATTAACATTGGCCTACCACTAATGATTCCCCTTGAACTGACCAAATCACAAACTAATACATGTAAACTAAGCAAAAGTTTCAAAGTCAATAGACCATAACTGAGGGGGTAGGGCCAAATAATCTCTATGGAAATGAGATGTGCCAATGCTAATACAACTGCATACCAAATATCATTGACCTACCACTAGTGGTTCACCATAAACTAGACCTAATCACAAACTAATACATTGTTGACACCACCGCTGCTGGAAACAGCATACCTTTGTCTCTGTCAAGGCGAGACAAAAACAGTACCAGTTCACATGATCATGATGATTGTGTATATCACTAACTGTCTTGAAATAGAATTTAAGACTGTTTTTGAAAAAAGTCTCTTGAAATATGCATGATGCAAGTTTTCATCCTTGAGAAATTCAAAAGGATAAATTTCCATACCTGAGAAAACTCTTTGTACATTGTTACTAGTGAAATGATTAGTATTATTTAAACCATTATCATGACCTCAGCCTATGCATTTACCGTGGATTCTTTTTCTAGAATCAACGCTTCCTAAATCTGTTGCTTAAATGGACTCACCAAATTATATTCAATTGTTTCCTTTGTGTGCCTAATTTCATTAAGTTTGAATTGGCCAATTTACTGATTTCTGTTCACTAATGGAATTAATTTAATTTTTGCATTTTTTATATACCTTCACTGGGAATCAAACCCCTCCTTGAAATCTGTTATGTGTGACTGACATCAACACATCGACGAAACCTCTTGGCTACCAATGGGTTGCAATTTAAATGTCTAGTTTATATATATAAATGAACATACAATACACATCGGTACAACAGACACATTTATGTATAATAATAGACAATCGTATAGTATGAGTTGGTAGCCACGAGGTTAACATGGTTAATATCAATGAGTTGAGTCAAGTTAAAGGTAGAGACTTGTCGGTGTAGGTTTTGAATCCCTGTATTCTCTTTGTTGTCCCTATTCTTTATTTTTTCCGTTTTTCTTATTTTGTATGATACTGTGGATATTTTTGTAATAATAGCGGGCTTTCCCGTTTACTTTTGGATTATAATTGGCTATTTCACATAATTGAAAAGAAAATGATTACATTCAATTTGTCCATTTTTATTTTATAAATATAGTATGCTTTCATCTGTTTTATTACATATCTTTACAAATGTTTATTCGCAATGCCCTATGCGAGTAAATCGTGATGTGTCTAGAATTAGGTTTCTTGATTGAATTTTCGGTAGCACACTCTTTCTATGTATTTGAAATAAGTTGGAATATGTCTTATTATGTAAATTACGGAGGATATTTAGATGTCTGAAAATTTAAAGACACAGATGTGTTATGTTATATTTGTATTTATCCAACCAATTAATTGTGAACTTAGATTTATTAATGCATCATTGAACTTGATAACATGGTTATTTAAATTCACTTATAATACGTACTATACCTTCTAATTAAGAAAAGGCTTTAATTTTGAAAAGACATGAACACAATAATTTAAGTAAGAGATACAATGATCAAGCATTCTGTGAGTATTGCATGGCAATACATAGTCTCCAACTAGTTAAAAATTCATTGCATTGGAACAAAATTCGAACTTGATCTATAACTTGTCATGGTGTAAACTATATAACAAATATCAAGTCAATATCTTCAAGCATGACGAAAAAAAGTGTTGAAAACTGATTAAGTGAATTTTTTAAGTCCAAGGACCATAACTCTGCATAAAATCATCAGACCGGAACAAAATTTGAACTTGATCTGTAACTTGTCATGATAAAACTATATACAAATTTTCAAATCAATATCTTCAAGCATGACGAAAAAAAGTGCAGAAAACTTATTATTTGAGTGAATTTTCTAAGTCCAAGGACCATAACTCTGCACAAAATCATCAGACCGGAACAAAATTCGAACTTGATCTGTAACTTGTCATGACAAAACTATATACCTATTTTAAATCAATATCTTCAAGCATGACGAAAAAAAAGTCCAGAAAACTTTTTATTTGAGTGAATTTTTAAAGTAAAAGGACCATAACTCTAGATCTGCACAAAATCATCAGACCAGAACAAAATTCAAACTTAAACTGTAACTTGTCATGATAAAACTATATACCAATTATCAAATCAATATCTTCAAGAATGACAAAAAAAAGCGCGGAAAACTGATTATTTTAGTGATTTTTCTAAGTCAAAGGACCATAACTCTGCACAAAATCATCAGATTGAAACAAAATTGGAACTTGACCTGTAACTTGTCATGATAAAACAATACACCAAATATCAAATCAATATCTTCAAGCATGAAGAAAAAAGTGTGGAAAACTGATTTGCCAGACTGACGGATGGACAGACAGACGGAGTGCAAACCTAAAGTCCCCTTCGACTTCGTCGGTAGGAGACTAATAAGTGTTGATTCATGAAAAACAAACCATCGCCCTCTGGGCTCATGGTTTCTTTTTCAAGAATCAACGCTTATTCATTGTATCTATAATACAGAAACCCATGTATACCAACAAGCTTGTGATGATTTGAAGCTGAACACTTTCCATTTCAATGTTTAATTTACAATGAACATTTTTTAAGGATTAGGGTCATGAGAGCTAGGGTTAGACTGAAAGGATGATGGTTATTCATTTTAAAGGCATGAATTTTGAAGGATGGAAATATTTAAGAGTACAATGTAATAAGGATATAAAATTTAAAGGATTGGGGTTCCAGTATGCATAAACCCTCTAAGGAAACAATTGTGATTACCCTTGTTTATTATGAGGAATGATAAATAAACAATAATACATATACAAAAATATATCTACCTTGAAGCTTGCTGCTGTAATAAACTACCTGGCAAATTACTTCTAATCTGAAACGAATAAGATGTTTTGCTCAAAAATAGATTCAGTCTGCCATCCTTTGGTCAACAATATGAAAATTTATACCCCCTTTCAGAAGCTAACAGTCAAAGGTGATGGAGTTTCAGTTTGTTCTCCATTCCCCTATTGTATACCTATATATACATGTATCTAACTGTTCCTGGACCCCTTCACAGAACTGTATATGAAACTTTTACAGAAAACAAAAGAAGAATGTGTCTGAGGACACGAATGCCCCTGCTTAACTTGCTTATATTATTGTATAATACTCCATCTGTAAGAGTATGTCGTAACCATTCTTCTTCTGCTTCCAGTAAGGAGTTGACCTCATACTTGAGTGATTTAATACTTCAGCTCGGTAAAACAGGAGGCTTCTCCATTGAATAAAATTAGTTAGGCTGCATTTGGGTCCAGGGCACACTGGCTAATCTGGCCCTGAACCCTTCAAGTGTTGGAACAGCTGCTACTGTGTCTGGCAGTAGGTTCCAGTCTCTTATAGAGCGCGGGAAAAAGGAGTTGTAAACTTCCTTTGTTACTCTGATCTGTCTAATTCTATGGCCACTTGTTCTGCTGTCCCCAGGTGTGTAGTAGATAGCTGGTTGTATCTCCACTAGTTGGTTCTGGATCTTGTAGCTTAGGACGAGCTGCTGGTTCATTCGTCTTTGCTGTAGGGTATCCCAATGCAGTTGGTCTAATAGTCCAGTGACACAGCCTGGGGATGTGTCGGTGTACTGGTTGTATACAAACGTGCTGATTTGCACTGTACCAGTTCGAGGTCTTTGATCAAGGTGGTTTGATGGGGATCCCACACTGTGGCAGCATACTCGATCGATTGTCTGATCAGTGCACAATAGGCTGTGTTTTTGACAGATGGCTTGCAACGGCCAAGGTTCCTGCAGAGAAAACCGAGGGTCCTGGCCATGGTTGCTTATCCGGTGGTGTTGTTAATGTGTTTATTCCACTGAAGGTCTTGACTAATGGTAACTCCAAGGTATTTTCTGCTATACAACTTCTAGTTGGTGTCAGTTCAAGGTATAAGTTGTTTGCAGGGTGTGACGCTTGTTAGAAATCCTCATGACAGTTCAATTTTCATTGTTTTTCTTGAAGAAAACACATCTGCCACTTGTGTTCCCATTCTTCCAGGGCAGTGAGGTCTCTTTGGAGAGTTGCTGCATCATCTGGATTTTTAATTTTCCTGTAGACCAGGCTATCGTCCGCAAAACAATCTTACATCTGAATATGTACAATCTGGCATGTTCATTGATATAAGTAAGGAATAGGAGAGGACCTAAGACTGTCTCTCCTCCTTCTTCTTCTTCTTCCAAATACAGCCCACATTCAACATGATGAATATTTTGGATGTTTGGCAAGTTGCGCATGTTTAAAAACAGGTTAAAAACAATTTAAAAACAAATTGTTCTGTTGATTTAGTTTGAGGTTTTGGTCATTGAGACTTTGCTGTGGCGATATCTGGTGGCAGTTTGTTCCAATCCTTGACAGTGTTTATGAAGAAGGACCATTTCCTACAATCTTTGGTGGCTGGCTGTAATAGGTAAGTATGGCGTCCTGTCAGGTTTGAGCTTCTTGTTGGTTTTTGTAGATATTTATTCTTGTCTATGGCTACAAGGTCGTATGTTATTTTGTAACACATGATGAGTCGAGCTTCTTTTTGTCTTGTTTGTAAGCTTTTCCATTCTTATTCAGTTTTCATGTTGCTGACACTTAATCTATTTCTATGTCTGCTGGTTACATATCGTGCAGCTCGTCTTTGTACCTTTTCAATTTTATCTATGTGGTTTTGCTGGTACGGGTCCCATACTGTCGTGGCGTATTCCATTTGCGGTCTTACTAACATTTTATAGGCATGCTCTTTGATGGATTTTGAGCTAATGTTGAGGTTTCGATGTAAAAAAAGAAGTTCCCTTGTGGAACTCCTTTATCCAGCTTAATGTTGTTCCTTTCACCCCATTGCATGCCATCTTCAAGAGCAAGCGTTGGTGGGGTACCTTGTCGAAAGCTTTTGAAAAATCCAGTAGAATGATGTCTGTCTGGTGCCCCTGGTCCATGTTTTTTGCAATCGGGTTTTATAAATTAATGTTACAACTAATTGGGTCTCACAGGATCGGCGACTTCTGAAGCCATGTTGCTCGTCACATAGGATGTGGTGTCGATCAAAGCGATCCATTACTGTGCTGTGTATGACGTGTTGTAATAATTGGCATGATATAGATTAGTCCAAATAATTATGACCTCTTGAAAGGCTATAAGTATAATAGCCTTTCAACTTAAGGTATCATAACAACATAATGCATATGAACAAACTTTTCAGCCCCCTGCGCCGAGTTTTTCTATATATCATTTTATATGAACCCTGTGCATATTTGGAGTATTCATCATTAAACAGTACATACTTTTCCTGACAAAAGGCTAATTTGTTGCGGAGATTTATGCAGGATTTTCTGATTTGTCTGATACTCCATCAGGAAGGCCGAATCTTCACTGAAAAGTCGTTTATTTTCATGTGCCATGGTTGATTGATTCAGAAATCCTAAATTTCGATCATCAGTGCGCTTCAAAAACTTATAAAATTACGTCAAGTGACTCCGAGCTTGAATCTTAATTAGCGGGATCAATTACCAAAACTGTAAATGTAATGCAAAAAGATATTGTAAGATTACGTCAGAGGAGTTACTCTTTCTTCTTAGAAATTTTGCGGAGTTTTGAAACATAGGAAAAGATTTTTTTTTTGTTCCAGATAAGATTTAGTTTGTTTTATACCTAATACCAGAGACATATAATACAATTGTATTATATGTCTCTGCTAATACACTCTACACTCAAAACATTCTTTGTATACTGATCTATATCAGAGCCATATTCGCATTTAAAAAAAACCCGAAAATATCAGTATAAGAACGTTAAAAATTAAAAAAGAATGTGAGGTCATATGTTATAGGACCTGAGACTACTATTGATTTATAGAAAAAACTCTATTAATATAAAAATAATGAGATGTGGTATGATTGCCAATAAGACAACTATCCACCAAAGTTCAAATGAAGTGGATGTAAGCAGTTATAGGTAACCGTACGACCTTCAACAATGAGAAAAACCCATACTGTATGGTTGGCTATCATGAAAAGGCACCGACATGAAAAATATGAAACAATTCAACTGAGAAAACTAACGGCCTAATTTATAACAAAACATTTACGAAAAACAAATATGACAGACATGAACCAACAACAACCACCGAACTACAGGCTCCTTACTTGGGACAGACACATAAAGAATGTGGCAGGGTTAAACATGTTTGTGAGCGCTCAACCCTCCCCTAACCTGGGACAGTGGTGTAACAGTACAACATAAGAACAAACTATAAAAATCAGTTGAAAAAGGCTTAACTCAGCAGATGGATACAAATAGAAATACATCTAACAAAAACACAAAATGGACGTGGACGAGTACTTATACATCCCAAAAACAAAAAGACACTAAGTACCGAGATCTGAGAGTACTCGCAGTTACTGGCTAGTTCAAAGCCAATAACAACTAATGAAAAAACTCATGTATCTAAGACTAAAATATCAATCAGTACACATCCAGCATCCAATGGATTTAGTGTAAAGACGTCATTAGCAGTCAGAGAAAAACATGACCTTGTGAAATGCCAAACTATAAGTATCGACAGATTGTAGTCACGTGAAAGTACATAATTATGTGTAATATTTAGTATGGTTTTAATTTACTGATAACAAAATCATTAAGCAATTTCAGGATTGAAAAACAAAGTTATCAGTTCAAGAGGTATATGCAGTCTTGACATCCTATTATCCTTGTGCTTAAGTCTACTAGTGCCTTTGTTTGTTTTTTTTGGATATGCTTAGGTTATTGGTATGTTCTGCTTTGTAATGCTTGTTTGTGGATTATATGTATATATGCTTCTTTGTTTTTATATTGCATGTGCATAGTTTGTATTAATAATGATGACATTGTATGTGTTGCAATTGCTTGATATGTTTTTATTATATGCAATTAATTATGTTATGTTTTTTGTATTATATCAGCGTGTGATAAGAGCTCTAAAGAACTCATGTTCCAGGTTAATATATATACATGTTTATTTGAATTCCCGACATTGAAAAAGATTATTTACTCACTTATTTTTTGTGAATGGTTCGAAATGCCACTGTTTTGCAGACTATAAATCTAAATTGTAGATACTACTCAGTGTATGTGCTTTATGAAACAGTTTATGTGCTTTATGAAACAGTTTATGTGCTTTATGAAACAGTTTATGTGCTTTATGAACAGTTTATGTGCTTTTTTCAAGTCTTTTATTGCTTGTTTTACTATTTTAAGCAAAATCGGATAATCCGATTCCACGTGTGAAGCAGCAACTGTTTACTCCCGAGTTCATTCATAGCTTTCGTGTTACTTTTACTTTTGTTTACAGGGTTGTATTTTGTGTTGTCTCTATCAGTAAAAGTCTCGTTTTCGTTTCAAACTTTCACATACGGATAAGTCCTGCTTACCCTTCCTGAGCACCTGAGATCGCCCCCGGTTTTTGGTTTTGTTTAGAGAACATAAATGTACCGATTATTTTTTGGGGACTATTTGGTAATGTATTATGATCAGACGAGACATTATACCTATCCGCCATTGTTACATGCCTAACCACTGAAGATGACTCATTACTATATCAATGACGGGCGACACAATTTGAACAGGAACTGCTGACCCTACCAGAGCACACGAGTTAATCCCCTTTTTGATAGGGTTCGTGTAGCTCAGTCTTTGATTTTCTGAGTTATGTTTTCTTGTTGTTGATAAATAAATGGATTTAAGCAACTATCATAGGCCGTTGGTTTTTTTCGTTTAAATGATTAAATATTTTGTCATATCGGGATCTTCAAAGAATAATTATACGATATGGGGTTTGCTCATTGTTGAAGGCACTAATGCGACTTATATAGTTTCTTACATCTACGTTATTTTGACTCTGGTGGATAGCTGTCTCTTTGGCAATAATGCCACATCTCCTTATTTATATATTGCACATATCCTCTCTTTTATATCAGTCTTAATTCAATTTTAGCTGCCGTTGAGTTACTGGTAGGGAGCTGCATAGCCCTTTTTTGTCTTATCTGTTACGAATCCTAGGTGTTAAAGAGTTTATAGTTATGAATTCGTGACTTTCTACAAGAGGTTCAATAGTTATACACAAAATCGTTACTTATTAATGCCGATAAAAACTTGTATAACTTTTTTTACTTTTATTAATACCGATACGCAAATGTATAACGGTTGAGATAGTCATGACTTTTCTACTCTCTACACTACACTTCCACACAATCTTATCAAAAAGAAGTTTTCCTATTTAATGTATAATGGTCCTTTGAAAAATCAGATAACAAAACAATTTGCTGCAACTCATATAAGTGACCTGGATATAGAGAACAATGATATTAACAACACATGGGAACAGGCAAAAAATGTAATCCTAGAAACATGCGAGGAAACATTAGGATAGATGCAGTATAAACGCAAAAACTGGATGTCAGATAATACATGGGTTAAGGTTGAAGCAAGGAGAAAAGCCAAAGAAAAAGTCTTAAATGCCACATCAAGACAACAGAACAGACAAACACAAGACAACAGAAAAGACAAACACAAGACCTTTGTAGGGAGAAAGACAAAGAAGTGAAGAAGAACTGTAAACATGACAATAGAGACTATGTTGAACAACTAGCACAAGGAGCAGAAATTGCCTGTAGCAAAGGAGACATAAAATCTCTCTACAATACAACTAGACAACTTAGCGGCAGAAGATCCAACTCAAATGCTCCAGTTAAAGATGAAAATGGCAATGTAATTATCAAAATTGAAGAACAATTAAAACGACGGAAAGAACATTTTGAAGAAGTGCTAAACAGACCCCCTCCAACAGACCCACCTAACATAGTAGGGAGACAGGTCCTGAATATCAAGACAGGATTAAATAACTAAAACAGAGATACATGCTGCAATAAAACAACTTAAAAATTGAAAAGCAGGAGGAATTGACAACATACCCCCTGAAGCTATTAAGGCAATGGATAACATCTGTATTGATAAACTTCAACTACTTAACAAAATATGGAATGACGAACATATACCTGAAGACTGGCGTAAAGGAATCATCATTAAACTACCAAAGAAAGGCGACAACTCGATCTGTAGCAACTGGAGAGGTATTATTTTGCCTTTTATTCATAGAAAAGTCCTATGTCACATCATCTTACAAAGATTAAAGAAAGAAGTTGATTATTTGCTGAGAGATGAACATGCAAGAGAGATCATGTATTGACCAAATTGACACACTAAGAATCATCATTTAGCAAACTATTGAATGGCAGACATCCCTATACCTAACATTTATAGATTTTGAGAGGGCCTTTGATAGTATAGACCATCAAGTACTGTGGAACATCCTCAGATATTATGGAATACCTGAAAAGATCATATCCGTCATCCAACAGCTCTATGATGGATTTACATGTCAAGTGATCTATGCGGGGACCCTGAAAGATCCATTTCCTTTATCAACTGGTGTCGGGCAAGGATGTCTACTCTCCCCTCTCCTTTTTTTGATGGTTATAGACTGGGTGAGTCGGAAATCATACAATACTCCTCTGGGCATTAAATTGACATTACAGTCATGCCTCGAAGACCTTGACTTTGCAGACGATATCTACCAGCTTTCCCACCGCCATGAAGATTCACAAAACCAAGCAACCAACCTTGAAACAACTGCAAAACAAGAAGAACTGTACATAAATGCAAAACAGAAATATATGAGGGTTAACGCACAACAACTTAACAAAACCAAAGTTAGAGATGCTGAAATTGAGGATGTCCCAGAATTCACATATCTTAGAAGTGTCACAATAACATCAAGAGGAATAGATGAAGTTATTCAATCTAGAAAAAGAAAAGCACAACAAGCCTTTGCTATCCTTAAACCAGTTTGGAGGAGCAAAGCACTCAGAACAAACACCAAAATCAGGATCTTCAACTCAAATGTGAAATCTATACTTCTCTATGGGTCAGAAACTTGGAGACTAACAGTTGTGTCTACCAAAACATTACAAGTTTTAATGAACAGGTGCATAAGAAATATTATTGGAATTAAGTGGCCAAACACTATTAGCAACAAAGAATTATGGAAAAGGACAAGACAAGAACCAATAGAAAGAACGATTACAACACGTAGATGGAAATGGATTGGACACTCGTTACATAAAAACAACACACACGTTACTAGACAGGCGTTAGATTGGAATCCTCAAGGCCATCGTAAAAGAGGGCGACCAAAAACCTTCTGGCGCAGAAATGTAACTTCTGACCTACAGAAAATAGGGAAAAAACATGGGGAGAAACTAGCCAAGGACAGGAAAAGATGGAAAGCCACTGTGGTCGCCCTATGTTCCCCCTGGGACGAAGTGGATTAAGTCAAGTCAAAGTAAGTCATATAAAGCCTTCTTCTGTACAGAAAAAGTAAATATTCTAAATTGTGATGAAATTATTA